GACTCAAGTGATTCTCTTGTCTCAGTGTCCCAAGTAGCTGGGACTACAGGCACCTACTGCAACGCTCAGCTATTATTTAGAGATGAGGTCTGGCTCTGGCTCACGCTGGTCTTGAACCTATGAGCTCAGGTAATCCACTTGCCTCGGCCTCCCAAGTATCTTTTTTCATTATTAGTTTTATTTTTAAGGGATGAGGGAGAAAGAAAGAAAGAGAGGGAGGAAGAGAAGAAAGGAAGGAAGGAAGGGAGGGAGGAAGGGAGGGAGGAAGGAAAAGACGAGACAGGATCTTGCTGTGTTACTCAGACTGGTCTTGAACTCCTGGCCTCAAGTGAGATTACAGGCTTGAACCACTGCCCTTGGCCCTGTCATGTTTTTGGTTTTTTTTTTTTCTCTAGAGACAGAGTCTTATTTTGTTGCCCTTGGTAGAGTGCTGTGGCGTCACAGCTCACAGCAACCTCCAACTCCTGGGCTTAGGTGATTCTCATGCCTCAGCCTCCTGAGTAGCTGAGACTACAGGTACCCTCCACAATGCCTGGCTAGTTTTTTGTTGCAGTTTGGCAGGGGCTGGGTTTGAACCTGCCACCCTCGGTATATGGGGCCAGCACCCTACCCAATGTGGCCACAGGTGCCACCCTTTTTGTGTAATGGTTGAAAAAAAAAAGAATACTTTGAAACCCAAAAACATTATATGAAATTCAAATTTCAGTGCCTATAAATACAGTTTTTGGGGGAACACAGACATCCTTATTCATTTACATATTTGTCTATGGCTGTTTTTACATTAGGACAGCAAAATTGGTGGCTGCAACAGAGACTGTATGGCCCAGAAAGTCTAAAATATTTATTATGTAGGTCTTCACAAAAAAGTTTGCAGACTTGATCTGTCCAGAAACTAGGTCTCAAAAATCTCAGGGAGAAGGAGAAAAGATATTAAAGAGGGTCATTAAGGTGTACTGTGCAGGAGCTAGGCCCTTTGCAGCCAGTCTGGGGGAGGAGACTTTGAGACCCACCATGCCCATCTCCTAAATGTCATCTGCAGCTTACAGGAGGAGAGTGATCCTCACAACCATTTTTTTTTTTTTTTAGACATAGAGTCTTACTTTATCACCCTCGGTAGAGTGCTGTGGCGTCACAGCTCATGGCAACGTCCAGCTCTTGGGCTTAGGTGATTCTCTTGCCTCAGCCTCCCGAGTAGCTGGGACTACAGGTGCTCACAACCATTTCTTAAAATAGGCATCATTGTCTTTACATGTAAAGAAACAGGCAGGACAGAGACCTTAAGTAATTTGCTAGAGGTCACAGGATAACAGAAGGTAGAGAGAAGCTTCAAAGTGACCTGTCACACTATGGAGCCTGAGCTCTTCTCTGATATCAGAAAGTAAGCTCCCAAAGACAGCAAGAGGCTCACTTTGCGGGAAATCTGACAACACTGTTTTTCAGCCCTCCTTATCCCCACCTCCCTGACCCTAGCCAAAGAAATGAAGCAGCTTCCTTGGGCGCGCCGGTGGCTCAAGGAGTAGGGCGCCGGCCCCATAAATGGGGGGTGGGGTGGCAGGTTCAAACCCAGCCCTGGACAAAAACTGCAAAAAATAAAAATAAAAAATGGGGCAGTGCCTGTGGTTCAAAAGGGTAGGGCACTGGCCCCATATGCTGGAAGGTGGTGGGTTCAAACCCAACTCCTGCCAAAAAAATAAATAAAATAAAAATGAAGCAGCTTCCAAAAAAAAAAAAAAAATTACACGGGGCTTCCAAAGAAGTTAGATTTGTCCTTTCTATTCCCTTTATTACCTTAGAAGTCTGAATGAGGGGGCGGGGCCAGCAAATACTGGGGCAGGGACTGCTGATAGCTATGCTCTGGGACTGGGTACTGACCAGCTCCTGGGCAGCCTGGGAGGCTTCCTGAGTTTTGCTGTGGGGCCCTAAATCTACCCAGGTGGGCAATAACGGAATTGACACAAAAGAACCAGGTAAGAAAGACTGAAGGGGGAAGGGCCAGATGACAGTCTGCTGGCTTCCCCTTCCTATCTCCTGACACTGGAGAACAAGGTCACAGGAATCCCTTTGATGGTTCAAAATTTAACCTACTCCTTCTCCCATGGAAAGTAAACCATTAATCCAGTGCCATGCAAAGAAGGCTAATGCAAGTGCTGTCAGTCTCAGACAAAGAAGGCTCCAATAAGCACAGCCCCTCCTCATCTCTGCTCCCTGGACACCCCATTCTGCGCAGGAGCACCCACATCTCTAATACTGCCCTGCTTATCATCAGACAGACTTGCTGAGCACTGGCACCCTGAAACTCACTCTCTTTCCCTGACTTCCCTGTCAACTGCCAGAGAGCAGTACCACAATTCCAAAAAAGGAAAGGGAAGATAAAGGATAAAGGACTCATTATTAGGCAAACATTACTTTAGCACCTACTAAGTGACAGAAACAGTACACTCCTTCTGAGGTGGTACTGTCTCCTAGTGGGATGGGGATCAGGATGGGCAGAAGCCCTCAGCTTTCCCATTAGCTTCTGGGCTGACTCCTGAGAGGCATCCACCTCCCTCCAGGGACCACAGGCAGAGGTACCAATTTTATGGACAGTACTTAGTTCTGGAAGTTCTGGGAAGCCTATCAAGCATCCTCAGAACCCTAATCTAGCCATAACTCTCTCTGCTCTGCAGCCATGGGCCCCTTCTACACCTAGACTAGCTCTGCAGTCCCCACCTCCTGGGTGTACTGGGCTCCACAGTCAGTTAGGGATTTTGCTGCTTTGTTCTTCCACCTGCAATCACCTTTTTTTTTTTTTTAATTAGTTGGCACACTGAATTTAGCGATCCTGCCCATTTCCTCTTCATTGGGATTATAACTGTATGCTTATTCTACCAGGGACTGGAGGCCCAGACTAGCCCACCATCTGGGGGACAGAGAACAAAAGGTGCATGACAACCAGTCCTCTTCTTCCTCCAGCCAGTGTCTTGGCATGAGTTCTGGGTGTTATGCCAGAGGGTGGGGCAAGAGAGGGGCTGAGGTTCAAAGGGACACACCTAAGAAGACTTTGGCCACTATGGCCCAGGGAATTAACCCATTGGATCCCAGGGAATAGCTAAAAGTAGTTGGGGGGAGCAGGGAACCCCTAATCTGATGGATGGGGTAATCCAGACTCTGAAAGTCCGTGGCTCTCAGGTATGAATTGGTACCCCTTTAAATCTCATAATTAATCCTTTGGAATAAAAGAAACAATGTTAGGCATAAGAGAAAGGGGATCTTGGGTGAATTAGGATGTCAAGATTTTCTTTTTCTTTTTCTTTTTCTTTTTTTTTTTTTGAGACAGAGCCTCAAGCGATAGCCCTGGGTAGAGTGCCATGACATCACAGCTCACAGCAACCTCAAACTCCTGGGCTTAAGCGATTCTCTTGCCTTAGCCTCCCAAGTAGCTGAGACTACAGGTGCCCAACACAATGCCTGGCTATTTTTTGGTTGTAGTTGTCATTGTTGTTTGGCAAGCCTGGGCCAGAGTTGAACCTGCCAGCTCTGGTGTATGTGGCTGACGCCTTAGCTGCTTGAGCTACAGGTACCACCTTTCTTTTCTTTCTTTCTTTCTTTTTTTTTTTTTTTAAGTAAAATTGTGTCATCTGGACTAGAGTACCTCAAAAATTTATAGACATGGGTGGCGCCTATAGCTAAGTGGGCAGGGTGCCAGCCACATGCACCAGAGCTGCAAACCCACCCGAGGCCTGCTAAAACAAAACAAAACAAAAATAGCTGGCGTCGTGACAGGCGCCTGTAGTCCCAGCTACCTGGGAGCTACTTGGGAGGCTAAGGCAGGAGAATCACTTGAGCCCAAGAGTTTGAGGTTGATGTGAGCTGTGATGATACAGCAGTCTACTAAGGGTGTCTACTAAGGGTGACAAAGTGAGACTCTGTCTCAATAAAAAAATAAATAAATAGGCGGTGCCTGTGGCTCAGTGAGTAGGGCACCAGCCCCATATACCGAGGGTGGTGGGTTCGAACCTGGACCCAGCCAAACTGCAACAAAAAAATAGCCGGGCGTTGTGGCAGGTGCCTGTAGTCCCAGCTACTAAGGAGGCTGAGGCATGAGAATCGCCTAAGCCCAAGAGCTGGAGGTTGCTGTGCACTATGAAGCCACAGTGAGACTCTGTCTCAAATAAATAAATAAAATCTATAGCCAGACCTAGCTGAAATACTTGGCTTTAGGATTAGGCCCTCTTTTTTTTTTCCCCAGACAGAGTCTCCCTCTGTTGCCTAGGCTAAAGTGCTGTGGCCTCAGCTTAGCTCATAGCAACCTCAAAATCTTGGGCTCAAGCAATCCTCTTGCCTCGGCCTCCCAAGTAGCTGGGATTACAGGTGTCCACCACCATGCCCAGCTATTTCCATTCTTAGTAGAGATGGGGTCTGGCTCTTGCTCAGGCTGGTCTTAAACTCCTGAGCTCAAGCAATCCACCCGCCTCAGCCTCCCAGAGTATTGGGATCACAGGCATGAACCACTGCACTCCACTGATGTCAAGGCTTTAAGACCCCCAGAATCATCCTTGGTGACTATATATCCTGAGGAAGAAAAAGAGACCAAAAGACAACACAAGGGACTTTGATGTCAGATGAACTTGAGTCTGAACCTCAGTCCTACAATTTATCTCTTAAGTGGCATGCATTAGTATTCTAGTTTTCTAAACTTTATCTTTAATATAAGGATTGTAGTATGTCAGCACCATAGGATTGTGGGGTTAAGAAAGAATACATAAAAATCATTGGCCACACAAGTTGTGTTAATTAACTGTTGGTCATTATTGTGACCAATATACACTTGCCTGTGTGTGTACACACACAGCTGGTTGGAAGAAACTCTGAATTGTTCTGCTACTTCCTGTGGTGCTGAGGGGTGCCTAGAGATCTCTACTTCCAGGGAATCACCATTCACGGGGTAAGGACCTAGGAAAGGGAAGAGGGAAACTCACCAGCCCTGGGAAATATCCCAAATATAGGTGACCTGTTCCTACCTTCAGCTGGCGACTTCAGTGCAGGAAAACGTCCTGCTTCAGGTGGTCCCTGTAAAAGTCCAGTCCAGCACCTCCTTGGGGGCTTCTCTTCTGGTCCTTTCAAGGGAATTGCTCATGGTCCCGAAGATTGTGCAGGGAACAAGGGGGACCCATTCCAGTCCAGACCAGCTGCCTCTTCAACTCCTATAGCCCTTCCTTCCCCGCCCTACTTCAAACACCCTAGACAGTGCTGTGCCCAGGCCTTTAACCCCTTCAGTGCCGCTACTAATCCTGAGGACTCCTGGGTCCCTCTTTCCTCAGCATTCCCTGAACAAAGGGTGGCCCCAGATTCAGGCTCGTATGGAAACAGGTGCGAGAAGCCAAGCTGGAGTCACCCTGAAAGGAAAGTTTGTAGAAACCTGCCATCTCAGGGAACTTCCATTCTCCCTCCAAACAGGACATGAAGAAGCTGAGGAGTGGAGAAAGAGGACATATTGGGAAAGAGCCCACAGCTGGAAACCTAGTTAACAGCAAGGTCCTCATGGGGTCAGCAAGGTCCTTTGCTCTTTCTCAAATTTGGCTTCAGAACTGCTGTCGGTTCCTTTAAGAGGCAGGTTACAGCCCGGCAGAGGAAGAAAGATTATATTTTTTTGTAATCAAAAGGGAGGAGCTACAGGGGCAGCTGCATCTGAGGAGGGCCTTCTCTAGCCAACAGGAGGAAGGTGACCAAGCAACATAGCACATACAGGCCTCATGGCTTGTTGTGGATACCAGGCAGCAAGGTATTTGACCAGGCCCCCTCCTTCCTTGATAAGAACTTTTCAGGGGGGCTGACTCATGCTCACTGCTTCCACTGGGACAAAGAACAGCTTGACTAGATATTGGACTTCCTGAGGTAATGGGGAGCCCTCTGCTTCCCCTAAAGTCCAGCAGAAAGGGCTTGTTGGCATTGGAAGATGGTACTGTGTTTCCCCCCAAATAAGACACTGTCTTATATTTATTTTTTCTCAAGAAGAAAAACTAGGGCTTATTTTCAGGGGATGTCTTATTTTTATTAAGTACAATACAACAATCTACATTTATTCAAATACAGTTAAGTCATCTTCTTCTGGAACCTGACAGGGAGAGCCAACCTTGTTGGAGGGGCTGGTGCTAGTGATGCGCGAACTCCTTTCCCCTAGCCGTTGGCATGTGCACAATAGGATGCCTGCAACCTCTGTTACCACATGTGCACCCGCGCAAGTGCAAACAGCTCAGAGAAAGGAGCTGTGGCAGATGAAAGGTATTCCAGTCTTCCTTACCGCTCCGTGCTGAAATGCATGGCGTGGCTATGCAGCGTATCTGGTCTTATTATCGGGGTAGGTCTTATATTTAACAAATGCATAGAAATCCTGCTAGGGCTTATTTTTTGGGTAGGTCTTATTTTTGGGGAAACACTTGCTAGTTATAGGGCCATGGAGGAGTTACTGATTAGCCTCATCCCCACACCTGTAAAATTGGGGTGTTAAGTGAGATTTGGGCATATGGTAGAACATAGGTACTGGGCCCACATGAGTTAATAAACTTGCCAGCTGCCACTCGCTGGGTAACTTTGAGTAAGCCACATCACCCCCAATGAAAGGATTAAATGGGATGAGCTATGGTCTATTCTTGCTCTAAAATTTGTTCTCTGGGTGAGAGGAGGAGACAGCTGCTGCCAGGTATACAACTGTGTCCCCTTCCCTACCTGGCTGGGTCCCAAACCACATGATGAGGAAGTGACAGTGGCTATTTCTTGCTTCATAAGAACACAGTGGAGACACAAGGGTGCCGGCCACATACACCTAGGGTGGCAGGTTCGGACCCGGCACAGGTCTAGTAAGCAACAAAGACAACTGCAACCAGAAAAAAAAAAAAAAAAAAGAACACAGTGGAGATGCCTGCCCCATCTTACTGTGAGGAGTCCTCAGAATTCCTCTAATGAGGCAATCTCGGGATTGTTGGGATTCAGAATGTGCTCCTGGAAGGGAGTGATATACCTGAGGTCATGCGGGCAGTGAGGCTGTGCTGGGCTGGGCAGCACTCCGCCTCTGTCGTCACTAATTCTCCCACCGGAGCTGCTCGCTCAAGGAATGTAGATTCGACAGCTGCCTAGCCTTTTGCTGGATCACTCCATGACTTCCAGCTTTGTGGAAATTCTTATACCCACTTTCCATTTACTTCCTTCAAAAAGAGTGTCAAAACCCAGGATGGGAAGGGGATGAAAATCGAGGCAGCCATCTCCTTCTGGTACCAGGGCTGGGTGTGTGAGTGAGCAGATGCCAGTTGAATGTCTGGATGACCAGGGAGGCTAGAGGGATGGTCCTCAGGGGACAGGGCAAACTGGAACATGTTGGCGGCCAGCTTACTGTCTGTATAGCTTTTTAGGATAGAGCTGTGGTTTGGGTGTCCACCCTGCAGGAAGGATGAGGAGTCAGTGATCACTTTCTCTCACCCCTCATAGTTCTACACAATCCCAAAATCGGGTCCACACCTCCCTCTTTCAATTAGAGTGGAGAAGTGCAGTCTGCCACTCCCCTTCCTGTTAAATTTTCTCAAGTTAAGAGGGCTCAATCCTAGGCAGTGGCCAATGGCTCACACCTGTAATCCCAGCACTCTAGGAGGCCAAGGCGAGTGGATTGCTTTTTTTTTTTTTTT